TGTTGTGGTTGCGGTTGTGGTTGTGGTTGTGGTTGCGGTTGTAGTAGTTGCAGTTGTGTTTGTAGTTGTGGTTGTTGTTGCTGTTCTTCTTCTTCTTCTTCGTCTTGTTGCTTTTGTTATTGTTACTGTAAATGCTTCGCGTTGCCCGCCTCAGCCAGTCCGCTTTTGGCTGGCTTTGAGGTGTACGCCGTGCTTTAGTTTGCCTTGAAGTCTTGTGTTTGCGTGAGCTGGTTTCCATGCAAAGGTGAATTTGATTGGTTCCTGGGGGGTAGAGTTTCTACAGTTGTTTAAGGTGAGGTTGGATAGGTTTCTGGAGGGAATTTGACCGGTTTCTAGTGACCAGAATTGGACCAGCTCTGAAAGGGGATTTGACCGGTTTCTGGAGGGATCAAAGTTGGACGCAAGATAGGGATCTGACCGAGCCTTCCAGGCTTGCTTCAGGCGGACTGGAGGCAGCTGGAGCGGGGATTTTGGCTGCGCCACATGGGGTGGGGGCCCTTGTTCCCCCTCCACACAAAAACATTAGGAATGAAGGGAAACTCACAGGGGCCAGGCTACTCAAGTTGCGATTGCCTGCTTTCGTACTACTAGATCACATTGGAGCAAAGCGCTGCAAAGCAAGCGACAGACAGCTACACGCAACAAGTGTGAGGGTAACCGTGGCACGCCTTACATCGCTTTTTAGGAGGGCTTGCTACGCGGATATGAAAAAAATTGGGGGAACGAAGGGAAATGAATGGGAATAGGAAATGAGGCACAAACCAAGCAGAAATGAAGGGAACTGACATGAAGAGGCATGAAGGGAATGAAGGGGACAGGACACATGAAGGGGAGAGAAGAAGAGGAAATATAGGGAATGAGTGGGCTGAATTGGGAGGGCCCCCAGCAACCACTTCCATGATTGTTTGAAAGAGGTACTTCCAAACCAGCTAAGTTGCACACCTGTTTGCATCCATTCTTTGAGTTCGTTTTGGGGAAGCTTTCCTTTTGTTCCGCTCTGGCTGTTCTGTTTTTCCCAGGATGGCTCCAATCCCCCCCTCTGAGCCGAGGCGTAACTCTCGCCTTCTTCTTCAATGCTGCACTGGACTTGGCCATCAACGTTCAAGCAACAACAAAACAGTGGCAGTGACCGCGCGGCGTTGTCCCAATCACCCCACAAACCTTACAGACCCCACGAGCTTCACGGACCCCACAAACCCTTCAATTGCCATGCGTTTCCCATTCGTCGCTTCCCCTTCATTTCCTCTTAATTTCTCTCTCATTCTCCCTTTCCCCCTTCATGTCCCTGCATTGCGCATGGATTTCCCTTTCAGCTGCCATTCATTTCCTCATTCTTTCCCCCGCCATTTCCTTCTTGCCCGCTTTGGGCCCAACAAGCGCAGCAAGCGCGTGACAAGTGGGGAGACAGTGGAGACAAGCGGGGACACGCCGCGGGATCCCTTCTTCGTTGGGATCAACGCCCGGATCCTCGCTGTGACCAGCTGGCGCAGGAGCGCTGCACGCTGTTACCATAGCGGCGGTTTAGCCTTGGTGGCTACACGACGCAACCTAGCATTTCCTTGCTTCTTTCCTAAGTCTTCGCATTTGGTCTTTTGCGTCGTCTGCTTGTTGGTTTCCTGGACTCCGTCATCGACTTCAGCTCCGAGCCCGCCCTCCCCCCAAGATTTGGATTTGTGAAGAAGCGCAAAGCCCCGCTACTGTTTAGATTGTTTGCAGGCGTTGAAACTATTTGAAGCATCATTTGTTACTCAACCCGCCAACTACTTTGTATTTTTCAAGACTTGTTGGTGATGCTGGGGATGTTGGTCGGACATGCGCGGGATGTTGAAAACTGGACCCCGCTCTGCCAGCTCCTCCTGGACCTCCTTGGCGAGCTGCCAGGTGAGAAGGCGGGACTGTGAAGGTTTCATGTGAGCTATGGTCACAATTGAAAATCGTGGTTCCCAGGATCAGCTTCGAATGTTCCAGGTCCAATGGTCGTGCGTCTCTTTCGGACGAGGTCAGGGGAGCGATCTTCTTGACCAGAAGCAAGAGTTCCAATTGGTCACAAACCAAGACAAAGGCAAAGTAGACTGCGGACCTCGCCCAGTTGTTGCGCGCAACCTGGGCCGAGAAACGATTTTTGATTTTGGCTTGTCACATGAGGGCTCTTCTAAATAGAGCTCCCTTTTTGGAGCCCAGTTGAAAGAAAAACCAAAGGACGAAACGGAATCCAGGGTTCAAGAACGGTCTCAATTTCAATAAGCTTCACATGGCAAGTCCAAAGCCAGCTTGCTGCCTGGGTTTCGTCTTAGACCCACAACCAACGTTGAGCGCCTTGTTGCTGTGGGGAGTCAGCAACTTGGCACTGCTTAAGTCGTCCCCGGTGTTTGTAAGTTTCCCGTTGTTGGCTCCCAGGGGTTGCTAGCTTCTGGTTCTTGCGCGCCCCAGGCTTTTAAGCGGCCAGGGGGCGAGTAGGGGAAAGAATGCAAGCGTTCTTTTTGAGGGGGTCTTTGCACTAACACTGTTCGCTTGATCGCCTCCTCTTGAGGCGTCTTTACGCTACCGCTGTTCCCTGGAGGTTGCTTGATCGCAAGACTTTTTTCTTTTTGAGGCGGTTGTTACGCTATCGCTGTTGCAGGCGTTTGCTTGCTGCTTCTTTTTGGGGTCTTTAGTCTTGCGCCGCATTATCTTACTATCTTTCTGTCTATTTATCTATCTCTCTATCTATCTTTCTTTCTATTTGTCTGTCTTTCTATTTATCCATCCATCCATCTATCCATCCATCCATCCACCTATCTATCTATCCAATCCACCGATCTCTCTCTATCTTTCTGCGTCCACATGTGTCCATCTATCCATCCATGTATTTATTCATACGTGTATTTTTGAGTGCAGGGTGTACGCCTACGTACGTACACACACACACACATATATATATATATATATAACGTATGTAGACAATAACGTGACTCCTATTGAGCGTTTGAAAGAGTTCGGCCCTGCAGGCCCTGCTGATGGTGTTTATGTCCCTCTCAGTGGCTGGCGTCTTGCCGTCGCTGTTTTTGGAGTTGCCAGCGCTGTCGCCAACAGAGGCCGGGAAGGCTATCAGAGGGAAGGCTATCAGCTGGGCGTCACATGTAAACTTCTAGGGCCGCAGGTTTTTTGTGCATGGTTCCACTTGCCAGGGTTCCATGTTAGGTACCCATTTTTGACCCGCAGCCAACAAGCAAGCAGTTTTTTGCGCCTCAAAACAGGGAAGGCAAACCCACGCCAAGTTGAGATTTTCCTCCAGCCAAGCTTTCCGTACTGATTCAGAGGCATAGCAGGGACGTCGTCGCTGGGCGCTAGTCACTATGGCTCTCGGTGTGGTCCTGAATGCGTGGGTGTTGTTTTAGGCAGCCGATCGGATGACCCTGAGGAAATTCGAGAGCTGAACCGGCGAGGCCTGACGCAACGCTTGGCAGTTCTCGGCATCTCGTTCACCATGTTTTCTGGTTGGGTAAAACGGCTATGAATTTGAAGAGTTGAAGCCACCTGCAAGGTGGTTGGTGGACATGAACCCCCACCGAATTCTGATGTCCGCCACAGGGTGCCCGATTGAACCTTACGCCCAAATTGTTTGAAACGAGCAACCCCTGAGGCCCTTTTTCAGGGAAACGACAAGTAGGCTGTTGAATTATCGGTCGCTGCGGTCGAAAATCAATGGCGCCAGTAAAACAGCTTCGTCAGAGTTGGGCGTTTGGTCGGTTTACACAACCACTGGTGCCCTTTAAAGGAAACCAAACGCAGGTTGTTTCAGCAGTGATGATCTGAGCATGTTTCAACAAAGGCTTGTCCCATTTCTTGTAGCTTGCAGCATTTCGAAGAGTAAATTGTTGCCCAGCCTCCAAACAACACGTTGCCGATGGGAAGGGCGCTGGAAGGATGGTAAGGGACTAAACCCTGGCTGGTTGAAGGGGGGGCGGGGGGGTTATGGAATCACTCCCCAAGCCTGGCTTGTGGAAATCCAAACCCCAAGAGCTCAGCAGGTTTGGCGCAGAAGTCGCACTTTTTGCCAACTGCCGAGGCATCATGCTCTACGTTGGCACTTACTCACTTGAGCTTGCGGCACTCCGGAAGCGCCTGAAAGAGGAAGGCAAGAGCCAGGCGGTGGCGTCCGAGTTGAGGGGCTCCGAGGATTGAGGACCCCCCTGTTGGGTGACTTGAGGAAGTCCCAGGGCGTCTCGAATGTGTCAAGCGGTTTTGGTTCTTTCTTGCTTCTTTCAAGCTCGGAAGCTCTGGAATTTTCGACGTGGGCAATGCTTTTCAAGCGATGCCAAAGGCATGCGCGGCTCAGCATTTGCAGATACAATTAAGACAAACAACGCCCGCCTTTTTTTTCTCCCCGAAGCGACGGTGGAGAGTGTGGCAAGGCTAAGGGATGCGTGGTTTTGTTCCATTCCATTTCTGAGCATTTGTCAGAAGCCTTAGACTCTTATTCTTCTAGACGTTTACAGGGGAATCATCGCATATGTTTACCGCAACTTTGAGCAAGGGATCGACGCAGCTCCAAGAAACCAGGGCTCGGGAAAGCAGAGCTACGCCAGGCATGTGGAGCATATGGCCCACCCGGCTCAGTGGATTTCTCTCTTGAAATCCCCTCTTGTTGGGTACTTCCATTTGCTTAGGTGTTTTTTTTTTTAATTTTTATTTTGTTGGTTTTAAAGGGAATCTATCACTACTGGAAATATTTTATTCTTTCCAGGGGGCTAAAGCAAATGGAAGGGTAGGTTCCACACTGGGGCGGAGCGGGAGATTCCGCTCAACATGGTTAGGATGATAGTTTTCGATGACTCCCCTTGCCTTTCTTTTAAGCGGCACAGGCTGTGGGGTCTTGCGGTCTTCTGGCAATTGAGGGTAGCGTCCAAAGAGGGATTTGGACACCGGGCTTCGGTCGTCCTTTTGGTTTCCCTTTAAGCTAACTTGAAGAGGGTACCGAGCCTCCAAAAAACCCAACCACCTGATGTTCTCAAATTGCATTGGCTCATCGCAGTGCTTGGCACGGCTCGTTTACCATGGCGACTGCGCCGCTTCTGCCGAAGACGGGCAAAGTTGGACACTCCAAGGCCTCGATCTTTTACGGGGCCGACGAGTACCTGGAGGACGGATGCGCGGCGCGGAAAAAGCGCGGCCGCGAGGGGCGTCGTTTTTCCCCTCCCTGTCAAGTGTTTCCCTTGACATGTTTCTTGTGCAGCCCGCCAGGTTTTTTTTGATGTGGGCGGTCAAGGAAAAAAATGCCCAGCAATCTTGAGGAGCTGAAGAAGAAGTACGCCCGGGACCACGAAATCGCTGCGTTGAAGAACTTGCTGCCCGGCGAGCGCGACCACTACGCCGCGGGAGTGGCTCGTAGCCATGACAAGATGCTCAAGGCGAACGGGCACGGAACTGGCCGGGCTTGTGATGGAAGGGTCTGGCGGCCAAGGGAGGATATGAGCGTGTTCTTTTCTGAGGGTCCACTTCTTAGGTGGCTTTAAAGGAAGACTAAATGGAAACCACCTACTTCGGGGGGGTGTTCCCAAAAAGGCACACACATGTGATGAACATTGCCGCTGTCCCCCTTGAATGTGAGCATTCATTGACTGCGGCTTCGTGTTGGCAAATGTGGCGACCACTTGTTCGCCCAACCTTGCGCTCGCGTATTGTACACACGCAGCAGAGAAGCCGCAACGCAGGTTGAGAAGAACAATGAGAACCGGAGTTTGAAGACCAACCGGCTCTTCCCCACGGCCAACAAACCGGATCCGATGCCCCAGAATTTGGCGTTCTTGTTTACCAGGATTACGCCTGAACAGATGATGCGCCTTGGCGATTCCCAGCAACTTTTAGGCTTGTGTAGTTTAGAGGGATCTATGTCATATTTCACTAACAGTTGAACTTTTTGCGAGGGATCAAAGAACCACCAAGGTACATGTGGAATGTGCTGACAGCAACCTGGTCTCGTGATCAATCAAGTTTTGCTAGATGTTGCGTGGTGAGTTCTGATGTTTGTTTGGCTGAGCAGTGTTGCCGGTGCTTTTTTCGCCCCGAGGCCATCTTCGTGTTCCAAGTCTTGCTCGTGGTTCTGTACTGTGGCCTGCTTGCACTCTTCCCCGGGCACTGGTGGACCTGTACCCTGATCTTCGGCATTCCCTTCGCGTACACTGCGATACAGCAGATCTATATCGACCACGACGTCATGCACGGCGCGACGTTCCCGGTCTACGAGTTCCAGAAGTTTCTGACGCACCCGCCCCTTGCCATGTGCGGCGCCTGTTGCCAGTGAGCCCAGAGTCTGCAGAAGAAATCTCTGGCCATCTTTCAAAAGACCCACTTGCAAGGATCCATGGATCTTAAGGAGGGCTGCCGGCAAACATTTGGGGTGGGTGGCGTCAAAATTGCCCGGTGCAAATGAGTGAGGAGAACATAAGCAATATAAAGCCACAACACATGCCCAGTTTTTCTCTCCAGGGGTGCGGACGGTCTGAGGTTCGCAGATTTCTTCTCCCTGCCCTGGGAAGAGTTCGTGTTGGAGCACAACCGCCACCATGCCAGCACGGTGGACCTGCTGATCCAGGCGGAACCCCTTCTGTTTCTGATTCTGGGTCGTAGATGATCATTCTGAGGGCTTCTCAAACAATGGGGGGGCGGTTTCTTTGTAAGCAATAATTTGCAGTGTGTTTTTGGGGCTGCTTTGACGGACCGGTTGTTCCTTTTGGGTGGGTGGGGCAATGGGGTCGACTCGGGTTTGGGACACGGGACTCTCAAGCTGGGTTCTCGCCGGCTTTTGCTTCCCTTGTCCGCGCAGAGGGTATGGAAAAAGAAGCCCTTTGAGGTGCCAAAGGGAGTCCCCCAAAGCGAGGCCGCTTTGGGGTGAAACTGCAAGCCCACGGGGCCCATGAAACTCGGTGCCACTCTGACCTGGGCGGGGATCAAAATGAAGCCAGGAACTGGACTCCCAAACCAACCCCATAGGGAAATGGAACCTATGGTCATTTCCATTTACCAAACCAACCCCATAGAGAATTGGAACCTATGGTTGACCCACACCCCAAATCCAACTGGCGCTTTGGGACGGGAGGGGAGGGGGGTGGGACCGGACCCGTCGCGCCCGGCCAGGGAGAGTTCGGCTGGGACCCCGAGGAGTTCCAGTACGCGCTCCAGCAGTGGGCAGGAGCTTCGCTGCGTTTCTGCGGCATAGGTATTTGTCCTTTTTGGTATGATGGGGTTGGGACCGAATGAGAGGTTTCGAGCGCTCTGATATTTTCTCAACTTGGGAATATGGAAACATGGCCAAATTTCAACCACAAAAGCCATGGGGGAGACTCGCTCATGTGTCCATGTTCTCTAGGAGCAGCGACTTTTCATCCGGCCAAGCTCGGCGGGTCTGTTTTGTGCTGGCTTTCATTGGCTGGCTTGTTTTAGAGTTGCAAACCCTCAATGGTTAGTAGAACAACTCCCAGTGTGAAGGATGTCTACCAAAGGGACCCCCAGGAATAATCATAAATGGACGGATGCTGATTTGGTACCCCCCTGCAAATTTATGGAAGGAACCTAAGGGGGCTCCTTTCTGCAGGAGATTAGTCTAAAGCTTTTTTTCTGGATTCCCGGTTTTTTCTGCATGAGTCTCAAAACAGGGACCTCATTTTGGGAGGCATTGAGAAGGAATCCCAAACGAAACCAGATGGAGGAGTGCAACATAGTGCAACGTCTTGAGGGACACCCATATCAAAGGAAGCCTAAATGAGTGAATCCTTGGGGCAAAGCTAAAAAAACCAAGCAGTTCACGCTGGGCACAGGTGGGAAACGACAATATCATGGACCGCTCCTGGATCGAACTAAACACAGCCAGATGGGCCCACTTGAGAGCACCACCTGGGTGGAGTCGATCTTTTTTTGTTGGCGATCGGTTCGTACCCGAAAAAGGTACGACCCTGGACCTCGATTAAGAAAAAGTGGAATGGTCGTGTTCTCGGATCTCCCCATTCCCCGCACCTGGCAGGTAGGTTGCCATCTCCGCTTCCTACAACTCCAGCACACCCCCAGCTCTGCCTCACTATGAGTACTTCTTATTACGACTGTTCCATGCCGGCACAAGCCCACGAGTATATGCGACGCCACTACCGCTGGAAACGGGGAGGGGATTGTCCAAAGAGTGGTTTCCCTTTCTTTTCCTCAGCTGCGCACTTGAACTTCCCTCGCCGCTTTTGGAGAGGACCCATGGGGCCCAACTGGTACAAGTACCTCCTTACAGTGCCCTGGATCCCCATCGTCCACTTCTTTGGGCTCAACGACACCGGGGCCTTGTTCGCCTTGGAGTGGTGGATGCACTTCCCGGACGAAGCCATTGGGGGCAAGTGCAACAAGGCTGTGAAGCTAACAGCAGTGGCACCCCCCCCTGTTAGGAAGGTTCATAGAAATCTCGGAAGGAGTTAGTAGAAGGAGTATGGAGAACTATATATTCTGGTGGATAGGGGTGAATGCTTAGTCTCAACTTTGAATCACTCCTCACACATGTCCCAACGGTTGGCTTCCCTTGTGGAGAGTTACATCAACAAAAAACTCCCTCGGGCTCGGATGAAAATCCGAGAAAAACAAATCCCCGCGTGTTCGAAAAATCCGCAGGAGTTCTGGAGCAAATGGGCCCCGCGGCGGGTGAAGCACAACCTCTTCGTGCTGGGCCTTTGGGCCTGCGTCTGGTTCCTGGGCTCTTGGCCTCTGGGCAGGGATCTGAGCCAGGGCTGGCGGTTCGTGCCCCTCGGCTGGCAAAATGCGCGGCGCTTTGGGCTTTGGACCTCGAAAGGTGCTGAGTCGACATGCGGGGGATTCTGGTTGGGCCTGAGTCGACTTGAGTTTTTTGTCGGATCCCCGGTCAAAAGGAACCCTAATTATGTGGTTTTCCTTGTGCCAAACCAACCTAAGGCGGCCAAAAACACAGCCCCAAGTATACCTCGGATTTGAAGCCTACAGGTAAACGGGCCTAGCTTGTCTTTTGATGGGTGCGTTTGTCTCCCAGAGGCAATTTTCAGTTTACCGGCTGGATCTCCGATGAACATCATGCCAAGACGGGATGTGGCTTGCCCCTTGCATTTTCCTTTGCCACATGCCCAAAAGGGAGACATGCCCATGTGTCTTGTCTGCGGGGAAAATCTGGGATGGGGCTTCCCTGCTGTGATACCAGGTAGCCTGTTTCCCCCCTGAGTGAAACACATGTTCGCAAGGGTTGGGAGCCAGGCATGAGAGCCACAACACCCGGCTAATTGGAGGGCAGGGCACCAGTCTCAGCCAATTTGAAGGTGCAAGAAGCAGCTTGGGGTGGCAGCAGTTCTATGTTTTCTTAAATTTTGCTACTATATGCAGGGTACCTCGTTTGCCCTCGGGTCTCGGTAGCTTGGGGGGGGAGGGAGTGGAAACCACCTCACAGGGGGACCATGTCGCAAGGTTCACGGTGTCCTTCTTCGCGCGTGTGGGCTTCTCGGCAGCTTGGATGTTCATCACCAACTTTACCCACTCCCTGCCCTGGAACGAGTTCCTGGCACAGGACCCGAGCGTGGAAACGCGTGACGTCCCTTCGGGGGGTTGTGGGGGTTGACCAATGTTCTGCATTCCTTGCCCCCCAAACGACCATGGGTAACTTTTCCAATGTGGGAAACTTGCCTTTTTTGGCGGTGTTGCCTAACTGTCATCCCATGACATTTTGATCCTTTTGGGGTGACGCTGTACCGTCAAACCTCTCGCGGATATGTGCTGGAAGAGATGGCGCTGCCCGGCATGTGAAAAATACTGCCAAAGTTGGACCTGACATGCGTCCAAAGATCGAACCCACTGCCAGCCGACATACGAAACCCAAGTCGGAAAAGACTCCCTGCCCAACACGGCCCCTAAACCCGCCCTAAACCCACCCTAAACCCACCCTAAACCCACCTTAAACCCAGCCTAAACCAACCCCAACCCCCAACCCACCCTAAATCCAGCCTAAACCAACCCCAATCCCCCCCTTAACCCACCTTAAACCAAAAGCGCAACCCTAAACCCACCCTAAACCCATCCTAAAGCGGTCCTAGGCCCTCTCATTCTCAGAGATTTGCAGCGCGTTTTTCTCTAGCTCGAACCCATTCTTTGGCGACTTGGCTGTTTTTCCATGTCCGGCAGCGCTATCCTGAATGAGCTGGCCAAGACACTCCTGAGCCGCTGGGACGCCGGGCCATGGGCGTTTGAGAAATGGAGTCGGTGATTCTGGGAGCTCAGTCGTCCAAATCCGACCTTTTTATCTGTTTGGTTTCCCGCCTATTTTCCCGTTTGGGGCCAAAGGCTCCGCCTTTGGTTCCCCCTCTTACTTTGTGGTTTCCGGAAAAAGGAAAGAAGATTAAAAACAAATGGTCAAAAGCTCCGCAGCTTTTTCCCATTTTTGGGTCCTGGCTGAGTGACGCGTGCAGGACCCGGCCCGCACCTGGCCAGTGCTGCACGGGGTGATGGCGCTGGTCCTGGGGGGGAAGCATCGCTGGAACGAGATGCTCTTCCACGCGCCCCAGCCGAAGTCTCACGAGAAAGCAGGGCTCCTGAAAAAAGATCTCCATTTTGCCACCATGTGACACATGCCGCTTTTTCCGTACCAAAATCAAGGGGTTTGCCACCATTTACAAGGCGGAGTGTTCAGGTGTGGCTCATGTACTCCCTGGAAAGGTTTTCCCGTCGCTCGGTTTCCGGGGAACTGCTAGCAGCCCCCCGGTGTTTGGGATGTCTTGGGACCCTCAAAGCCCCTTTCTTTTGGTTGGCGCTGACACCTGGTGTCCCCTCAAAATCCCGGAAAAAAACCCGCGAAGCCGGGCATCGACATTGGCGCGAATTTCGACAGGCGCGTCTTTGTGTTGCAGGGCTCGGCTCGCCTTTTGGACTTTTGATGCACCCTTTCCACCCCAGCATGTGAACTTTGCGCCAAGTCTGGCCCAGCTATGTCAGAAGTTGCGGGGTCGCAAGTCCATCTTGTGAGGTTCCGTGTGTTAATTCACAGCCACATGGTGGATCTCCCCTTTGGTTGGTCAAGTGACTTGACCAAAAGGAAACTCTTGTGATTTTCGGGGGCCCATGCCTAGTTTTGTGAACCATGGGCCAGACGGCAATCTCAGCAATGCTGACCCAGGAGTACTAAACCCCTGGTTGATTGATGAGGGGAGTGTCCGAGTGCAAAGGGCATCCTCCGTGTTTGCAGGAAACACCCTCTATGAATCCGAAGGGGGTCTATGAATCCGGGCTTGACTAAAAAATGGTTGATTGCCGTTCATGTCAACTTCAGATTCATCCATAACATAGGACCGAAGATCCTTATTTCTGATCTTGAATGGGGTTGTCGGGCATGGTTAGCCATGATTAGAGGCGTAGACGAGCGGTTCTTTGGCCCCTCATATTGCACCTCTGCCCAGATTTTCCCGAGGACGTGCATCACGCTTTCCCCAACGCGGTGGGCACGCTGAGCCAGCGCGGCCGCTTCCACGGCTGGCAGAAGGTGCACGACGCCGCGGCGGAGGTCTTGGCGCGCGGGCTTTGGATGCCCAACGGCGACGAGGAGACGCAGATGCCGCTCGCTGGGTGGGGGAAAAATTTCGGTAGGCGGCTGCTAGGTTTGGGGAGGTTAGGCTTTCGGATTTCATGTCGCACTTTTGGATGTGTATGGATGTTTTGGCGGTTGCCCTTCAGACCTTTCGCCACGTATCGGAGAGTTGGTTTAGACTCATGATCTCTGCAGCAAGAGATCAACGAGCTAAGGCAGAAGATGGCAAGGAAGCGGTCCCTGATCATGAAGCAGGGCAAGTAGACGGAGGTTACGAACCTCCAGCTTTCAATGGCTAGTACAGGCCGCAGGGCGGTCAAACCAAGTTTCAACTACAGCACCTCAAGAGAGGCCCAGCGCGATGCATGCGATGCATGCGTGCGACATGTGTACAGTTCCCCGGCGCAGACAGATGTGCTCGGGGATCTCCCGGGTTTTAACGTCCCCCCGGTTTTATTTCGTCCGAAGGGCCATGCGCTTGCCCGCGCGTGTTTTACAGGGCTCTCTTCGGGTTTGGGGGCGGCCCAGGTTTGAAACCGGTTTTGGCGGTTTTCAGGGAGCCTTGGGCAGGGTTCCAAAGAGATTCCCAATGAGCTGGGGATTTGGTTTGCGTTCAGTTTTGCAGTTTGTTGCTCTGAGCCTACAACAACTAGGAACTTGTTTTTGTTTCCTTCGATTCCCTTTCGCGGGCCAACTTTCCTCTGCTGTGCTGGGATCAAGCCTGAGGCGAAGGACACATCTGGTTGGAACCCTACACTCCCGACCGCGAGGACGACGATTTCGCGTAAAAGCGAGCTGCGCGCTTGGCCGAGGTCCAGTCTGGGCCTTGCCGGGGCCCCGTTCTGAACGGGTTCTACGAAACGGTTGCCTTTCTTCGATCGAAGCCTAAGGGCGTTGCCTAGATCGGTTGCCAAAGATGAGTGTTGCGCATGTTCAATCCATATCCCTTTTCCCACAATGTGGAGTTTGGGAACACCACGGTCCTCTGAAAGAAGCTGGCGGCCTTTTCTCTTGTAGGCGTTCATTGCCGCTTTTCAAGGGCAACCAAGGGAAGTTGGTTCGAAGCGGAAAAATCCGAGGAACTATAGCCCAATATGTTATGAGTACAATACTAGGACATTAGGACACGAGACAAATCCCTGAGAATCACGACAGAAATAGAGATTGATATGAGTGACAGCATGGTGTGTGAGTTTTTTATTGGGTTACTGCCTGGATCGCCAGTTGCTGCTTTTTTCCATCCACTTTACCATCCAAACACCAGCCACAGCAACTGAAAAAAAAGCGATCGCAGCTTGGCTATCTAGGTAGACATCCAAGGAACCAGGAGAACCGGGATTTGGTCTACGAGATCCTCTGAAAATTCCATGGCCTTGGTTCCCAGGCAAACATCTGGCGCCTTCTGATCAGAGGCCGGCAGCTCTCCGCAGCCCTCGGGGCTCGAGCCGGTGGCTACGGCGGCGGCCGGGATTTGCTTCCCGTGTGAACCCTAAACCCTAGCGAATCCTTGAGCTGCAGGTTCCTGTGGCTCCCTGCAGCTCCGGGCTTTGGGAAGAACAGACTTGGACATGGCCAGTAGAACATATAGGTTTTGGTATACAAATCCGTTTCTTGGTCCCAACTTTGGCCGTGTGCAGCTGGTCGTCCTGGGGCCTGTTCTGAAAGCCACCCAGGCCCGGCGTTACACGCCCGCCGTCCCGCGGTCAGGCTGTGAGCCTCCCGTGCCGTGACGCGCGGGCGAGACGGCAACGTCTCGCGCCGGGCGACGCGCGGTCGCTATGGCTGCGCTTTTTTTGCCCCAGACGCTGGCGGGGTTCTCGTCCCCTGGGGTGTAAGTACCTGCAGGGCCTGCAGGGCCTGCAGGGAAACGGACAGCCAGCGCGTTATGGATTTTTGCTCAAGGCATAGGTGCCATGGTCAAACACACCTTGAGAGAGTCGGCAGGGATTGCAGCACGAAAGGGATGTTGGGCAAGAGTGAAGGTTCCAAGTGAGGACCATGACACATATGTATGGAAATCGGGTGTTAGAGCCTGCTGTGATACCAAAAGGAATTTGCTTGCAAGTGATAAAGTAGTCATGGGCTCCAACCGCTTTGGTATCACAGAAAGGGTCAATCTCCCCTGCGCACATCTGCGCCTTTTTGCTCGTCCCCTTGCTCACGAGCAGTCTGGCGGTATTTGTGCCGACTGAAGCCGAGAAAAAAGGACCTTGGGAAGGGCGCAGGTTCCGCTGGCCTCGCTTGTTCTTGGAGGGTGCCCTTCTTCGGGCTTGATGTGAAGAGGCCCAGACCCCCAAAAGCACAGGGGGAATGGCAGTCGGCCGTCAAAAATATAAGTTTGGGTTGGGGGCCTACTTGAAATCTCCTGGAGCGCCAGTGGGTGTTTCTTTGGTGACTGTTTTTAGCGCAGAGCGTGTGGAAAACACAGCAACTTATCCAGACAGACCCACAACAGGAAGACCCTGTTGCGGCTGGGAGCCTTACTTTTCTGGGCAAAAGAATCCAAGCGCAACGCCTCTCGGTGCACTGGGGGCTGTCCTAACAGACCGAGCTATGGCTTTCGCCGGAAAGGCTCGCGAGATTTCGGCTCCGAGCCGATCCGAGATCCAACGAAGATCGCTTCGCCCGCCATGCCGGGGTCCTTGGTGGACGACCCGAGGGATTGGCAACCGGTTTGGACGGCCCAAGCAACAGGACCACGAGTTCTCACGCATTGCTGGCCGCCTCCAGTGGATATTTTTTGGGGTTCCAGCCTACTCTGCAGAATGGTTCCAGGTGGTCTACTTCTACTTGGTGGCAATTTAGAGTGTCAAGAGATCTTAGAACTCAAACACCCCGGCTTCCCCAGACAAGTCAGCACCATTCTTGGCCATTCTGCTCACCACCCGGTGCTTCCAGTTTGCATTGCAGGGAACCAAGAGAAACCGCGATTTGCAAGCTAAAGAGAAACTTCTTGACCTACCCATACTGGCAGCTAGCCCTGGCCTACCGTTTTGGGAACTAGGAGGTTCAGGGTATCCCAGCCTCCACTCACCTCGCTTTCCTAGGAAGCGCGCAGCGGCACTGTCCCTGCTGGCATGCGCCCAGGCGGCGCGATGCCCCAGTGGCCGCACTTCGTCTCCTTGCGGCGTATCGGACCCCCTCGGGCTGCCTCGGGCTGCCTGGGTATGTGTTGAACATGGGAATCTGAACCCGACCGGGTAGGCTTTCCTTTTTTAGGGTTCCCCTGACTCCGAAAAGGTATGCTCGAAAAACACTCCCGGGTTAATCAACTAGGGGTTGATTGATGGTCAATTTTAAACTCACACTCTAAAAAGGGGGTCCTCGAAGAAAAGGTTGGGTGCAAGTCTAGTCAAGCTTGCAGCAAAAAAGAAACCAGCACCAAGGTCGAGCGTCAACCAAGCTTGCAATGCGAAGAACATTGGCAGAAAAACAAAAACCAAAAAGGGAACCAAAGGCTGGGCTGAGTCGGCTTCGGTTGACCCCTTGGGCGTCAAGTTGAGGTTTGGATCACGCAAGGAGAAAAAGGGCTGAGGTCCCACAAGGTTTCAGAGGGTCCTTTGGCCGTGGTTTTGGCCGTCTTTTTTTTTTGTTTCTTAATTTGTTTTCTTCCTTTTTTTAAAGGTCCTTTGGGCCGTGGTTTTGGGGCAGGGTTTCACGGAGAGAGATTTCTCGAGATCGCCCGAGGTGAGCCCCATGGAGAAGGTCTTCTCCATGTTCGGGCCTCGAAGCGACGCGAATCCGCGGGTTCCTCTGAAGGCCGACGTGCAAAACGTCTCGGCCGGTAGGAAGCTCAACCGTCTTGGTGGTGCATGGCATGGCTCGTTTCTTTTTTTTTGGAGGACCTGGGGTGGAACTTTTTTTCTTCAGCTTTTCAGGTGGGCCCTGCAGATTTTTAGGAACCCAACAGCAGCCATCCGTCTTTGGGCGACTCGAGACGTCGAGGCTAGTCGACCTCCAGTCGAAGGTGCAGGAGGACGGTAAGGCTGCTGTGGAGGCGCGCGGCGAAACGAGGGGGTCCAGGTGCGGGCGATTTGGAGGAGGGTGCCCCTCAAAAGGGGTGGTTCTAAAGGGAAGGCAAGAAGGCCCATGAAAGTTTTGGGGGCTTGAAATTGCTTGAGGGTATGGGAGGGGGGTTAGTGGACATGGACACCAAAAGGAATTGCCGCTTCTTCTTCTTCTGCCTCTTCTTCTTCTTCTTTTTTTTTTTGGGGGGGGTCCGATGTCCTATCTGTTGGGTTGAATGGTTTGCTGGTCTTTCTTGAGGGATGCCACTGACTCATTCGGGCAAGCCGAGCGGAGCCCCCATGGTCCTTCACATCCAGTTCCTACAGGGAGTTCCGAATGGGGGATACTCTTGGTGGAAGGCGAATGGGCAAGATCCGCCTTTTGGGTTTGCCCATGTTGGGGATTTACTTTTGGTCAAGGTCCCCAAATAGGTGATCACCTTTGTGTTTCCGGCTCTTTGGGGCCAGTGCGAAAATGGGACCCGTGGCGGTTTTTTTCCGGGGGAGCTGGTCCTTTGCCAGGCCTATGACAACTACACCAAGTTCTGCGTGCGGGGCAAGCGAGATTTCGGCTATGACATCCAGGATGGCGCGAAGACCGTGGAGGCGCTGCCAGACGTTTTTCGTCAAGTCGTCGAAGTTTTCAACGTCCAGGTCCAGGGCGTTCTTGTGGTTGGGAGTGGGTGACATCTGTGAAGATGGTGCGGTGGCTTGTTTTTTGCCGGAAATTTAACAATGGAACCCAAGAGGGGGCATTCCGCTTTTTTTTTTTTGTGGGCCGGGAGGGGGGTGGGGTGGGGTGGTGGTGGTTCGCAGATTCTAACGGCGGCTTTCTGGGTGTTCCATGTCAACTGGAGTACCCAACGGACATGGGACAATTCTAGAACCCAAATTGACCATAGACCACGAGTCTGCCGCAAACCTTCCCCAAACCTACCCCAAACTTGCCTTAAACCTACCCTCTAAACGCACCCTAACCCTGGCCATCCCCACTCCACCCCTGCTGCCCCCCCCAGGAGCTGAGCGCGGCCATTGAAAAGGCCAGCGCGGAGATGGAGGTCTCCGGGTCCAGACTGGAGGAGACGGCGAGTTGTTTCGCCTTGCGAAGTCGGAGAATGAGAAGTGGAAGGAACCGTTTTGGGATTCCCTTATATAAAGGAGACCAGCAGCAAGGGATGGTTTTTGTAGAGGGTGATGAGCCAATTCTCATTCCCTGCTGAGTTGCAAGCGTTTGGATGGCTAAGCAACGCGAGTTATGAACATAAGGGGACTAGCCCGGTGCCCCATGTTTATAACCATGGTTATAACTTGTAAATCTACTCAAGTTGGTCGCACATCCAAGTGGCGAAGTTTCGAACAGTCGCGGAAATGGCTGCGCTGAGTTGCCTCTCGGAGTGACATTCCCCGGGGAATTATAGTGAGGGCAAGTGTAGAGGATGCATTTGGGCCAATGAACAAATCACCAAACGCCCAGGGGTCTTCCCTTTCCGGGTTTCTTCAAGGCGGTTGGATTTCCTTTGGTTTGAAAACCATCCAACGTGCCTCCCTTGATTTCCGGGAGCAAAGGAGAGCATGTGGCCCATGTGGGCCCTGATTTGTTTGTCCGTTCTTTTCAAGCATCGTTGTTTTCAATCAAGATATGTTCTCCTGGATAGAGCAGGATCTCTGAAAAGAATGAGCGCAACCTTTTGGCCCAGGATAATGCTTTGAATTGGTGGAACATCAACTCATAAATGGCGAGCGGTTACATAGCTCCCCAGATTGATGTCATCCATGTGCTCCCAATGAAAACTCCTACCCAAGTCCCAGTCCAGGGAAATGGCGATGTGCTCTTCCCAGCTTCTTTTCGTGCCAGCTGGGCAATTTTGTGAGCAACCGGGATCACCGACGTTACCCACAAATGGAATTCAACCCGGGTGAGGCACCCCGAAAAGGGCAGTGGGTCTACACATGTCTAGCTGGGGCCAGGCCAATGCTTTACGCCAAACCAGAAGCTTCCCCTCGGCTGGCGCCTGGCGCCTGGTGCTCAGGAGCTGCAGGGCGCCATCTCCAAGAGCGAGGCGGATCAGAAGGCGCGGGGCTGCGGGCTGCCGCGGGGGTTCGCGGGTGGCGGGCGGCCGGGGACTTGGGGATCCTCCGTGGCAACGCTGGGCTTCGTGTTGCCAGACAGTCGCTTCCCCCAGCAAAAAGGGGCTCCGAAGTTCCCCGCAGAACAGAGAGACCCACATTTTAGGCGTCCATGTTCGATCTTGGGTCAAAGTTAGTTTGCAATCTGATTCTTTGCCATCGGCTTAGATCATGAACGAAGTCGACGGGGTTTCAATTGGGTCGAAGATAAGCCATGCCAGCAAGACCTAGCAGCTGCAGAGGTCTCCCGCGGCGGTTTGCTTCTTGGGTTCTCATTGAAGGAACGCTGAAATATGTGCTATGGCAAAACACTCTTTTGCTTGAGATTGGTAGAGGTTGTCTCAACTGTTTAATACACATTTCAGACTGCCGTGATAGTGTGAGTTCTATTCAGGGAACAATGACCATGACCCCACATAAGCAGTTCTGACCGCTGCACATATGCTGCGCACCCTTTAACAGCATGTCATGTGCGTTCAATCATTTGCCCATCCCCTCTCAGCTTGTTGGCTTGGTGCAGATTTGCTCACTGCCTCTTTTCAATTTTTCGGGGAATTTCAGAATCCTTGCTCCGGCTTTGTGGCGGCACATCTTTGCGATGAAGGCCGAGTGCGAGCGTTGCCACCAGGTGCGTCAATTCCCAAGATGACCATGGGCACACTGCATTGATGGTGGCAGTCCTTACGCACTACCCAACTTCCATGATCAGCGCCATTGTGACGGCCAAAGCAAAGGTGAACGTCCCGAGCAAAGATGGCTGGACAGCTCTCAGGATTCTGCAGGACCAGCCTTCACCCCTGCATTTGCTGAAATGAATATTTTCTGCTTTCCCCTGTTGGTTTTAAAGGGAATTTACCACTATACTGGAAATTTCTTTCCAGGGGGCTTGAGCAAATGGAAGTCACTCTCGTTTGCCAAAAGGGGCTCAAGGGAAAGGAGGAACGGGTCGCCGCTTAGAGCCAGCAGCTATCACTCAAAGTGACGCCAGGCGGCGGCAGATCTCCGCAGCAAAGAGCAGGTGCCGAAGCGAAGCGTTGTGTCGCCAAAGCGTCGGGAGCCGTGTTGCCAGAGTGCCCAAAGAGGAGAAACACTGTTCATAGCTGTCCTTTTTGCTTGGTCGAAACATAGATGGGTCTCGATTCCTTTTTTTCCCTGGTTTTTCTCATCTACCAGGGATATGCTTCCAGTTCCCCTAGAAGGACACCAAAGTGTCAGGAGTCGCCCCACGGGCCATGGGCTCTTGGATTCCGCGTTTCAACCCTCGGCCTCCCGCGGCGATGGGGCGATGGAGCCCACGTATTTGGAGGGTGTTCTCGTGTAAGTCGTCGGTAGGGTAGGGTAGGGTAGGGTAGGGTAGGGTAGGGTAGGGTGGGTGAGCATTTCTCATGCGAGAGTGCTTTCTTCTCGTGGCATTGTGGTCATAGATATGGGATAGACCCAGGCCTTCAAAGCGGCAGTGCAGCGAATTGCCCGGCGCACCCCAAAAAAGTCAAGCGAGCGAGCTGCAGCTTCGCGCGTTTAGAGACATCTTTGTGCCTGGAAAATGCATAAAGGGGGGTTTCTGCAAATAGCGATCCCTCAAAATGGCAACGTTTCCTTGGGTGTCCCTTCTTTTTCCCACCCTTTTTGAGGGTACGTTTAGAGAACCCTCAAAACTTGCCGTACGGGAACCAAGTTTTGGTTTGGCTCAAGGCAAGTTTTGGCCTCCGGGAGCTTGGAGCGCGCGCAAGCGCTTGTGCTGGCCTTTGGGCCTTGGGGTGCAGTTTGTGGTGCGGGGACGTTTTTTTTCTCTTTTTTTTATCCAAAAAAAAGGCAAAAAAAAACACGGGGACGCTGAGCTGTTTTGCGTCAAGGCCAGTGTTGCCACTGGTGGCCGGGCTGGGAGGAATTGAGTGGCAGGCGCAGCATGCTGCCGCCCGGACGGAGTTGGAAGATGCCTCCGACATGCTGGCCGGGGGCCCAGTCGCTTGCGGCGTGGAAGGTGTCATTTTGGCCGTGTCACGCTCTTTTTTTTCTTTTTTTCTTCGGTTCGGGGGGGCCCAACATAAGTTCACGGTTTTTCCCTCCCAAGAGAAGTTTTTGCGTTTTCCCCTTTGGGTTCCTTCAAAACCAACGGGTCGGAGCGAGCCTCGCGACCTCAGGGCCGCGCCATCAAGACGCTCTCCGAGAAGCTGCCTGGCTCGGCGCTGCTGCAGGAGCGAAGATTTGCGGCCCAGGGTGCGGGGCCCTTTCTTCGACTTTTTTTTTGGGTAAAGTCAACCAACCAAAAAAGGGATGCCGATGCTTTTTGCTCCGTGGGTTGCGGCGCCTTTTTTCCGCTTCGCCTTTTTTTTTGGGAAGCCAACTGCTGCACCACTGGTTCTCCTGTCTTTTTGTTTGTGCAATCCCACTGGTTTTTTGGGGAATTGAGTCCGATTTCGTCAAAGTCAACCAACCCAAAAAAAGTCGGAGGCCGGTTCATTTTTCCCCATGGAAATCCACTGGGCATCTGAGGGGTGATTCAATGAATGCCAGGGGTTGTGGGTTGATGAGCATACGGGAACGAGAAACGCCTCCGGCGTGTTTTTCTTCTTAAGACCGGGAAAGACAGAGCACAACGCAGCTGTGCGCGCCCGATTTTTGTGCTTTGGAGGAGTGGTTTGGAGGTTAGCGCCAGTGCAAAAGAGTAGCCCAAATTTCCTCCCAACTCCCGCGTCTGAAGGCGCAACTAAAAGCCTTTCGCATTGAAGTGGTTGTATATCGATGAGGTCCTCAACGCTACTTTGACACGGGGTGGTTTCCCGTTTCACCGCTCAGTGAGGATTTCGCTTGAATAGACCCAGTTTGATGCCGGCCGGCTTCCTATCCCACTCCTTCGATCTAGAAGGTTCCCTTCAGGACGGCGGATCTCCTGCAAGAAACCTGGGATTTTTTTGGTGTACCTTACTCAAAATGTCAGTCATCGCACGGTTTGAGTCAGAGTCGCAAACTGGAGATGGTGCCCGCAAATCCGAGTTCAGCTGACTTGGTAATTGTAAGGAGCAGGATACTTTGTGAGTGGTTAGCACCCATCGTAAAAGCTCACCTGGTAAGTCCCTAAGTGGGGCTTACAGCGCCACTTAGAAAGTGCCCAGCACTTTAAGAAACCATGAAGGTGGGCGCCTTTGCTTGAGTTCACACAAAAGAGGTCTGGACGAGTGACAGCCGGAGCTAGTGACAGGTTTGTTTCGAATGCCCAAGCATGTCTCTGCTTGCGACAGCGAATGTCAATTCAGGGCCAATGCGTTGACTCCTTACCTGGCCCCAGTCACCTTGGTCGCAGATTAGGGAAGGTTCGTGCTCGCAGGAGACGAAAGCGGAAAATTTGGTGCAGGCACGCAGCTTTCGTCATGGGTTTGTGTGTGTGTGTGGCAGTTTTTTGAGGCGTAAAGGGGAGAAGCGTTCGTCACTTGCAGTACGTAAGTTAGTTAGTTTGAGTTAGCTCGAGTTAGTTTTAGTTCAGGATGTTCGGGTCATAACTATAACGAGTTAGTTACAGTTAGTTCGAGTTGGTTACAGCTAGTTCGAGTGGGTTACTTTTAGTTGGATTTGGTTCGAGCTAAGAAAGTTAGTTCGAGTTAGCTAGAGTTAGTTCGAGTTGGTTAAAGTCATAGTGCAAGTTAGCTTGAATGAGTTACATGTTGTTCGTAGAGTTAGTCACAGCTTGTTAGAGTTAGGAACAGTTAGTTCGAGTTAGTGCAGACCTGCTGTCAGTCGGTCGGTTGGTCGGTCAGCCAGCCAGCCAGCTAGCCAGCCAGTTTGTCCAGTCAGTCCAGTCAGTCAGTCAGCTAGCCGGCCAGCCGGCCAGTCGGCCAATCAGTCAGTCAGTCAATCAGTCAGCAGTTGCTTACTTGTTTGAGTGTTGCTTTGTTTCTTGCTTGCTTGGTGCGCTTGTTTGTGCGTTCGTGTTTTTTTGTTCACGCTCCTCTCTTGTCAGTTCCCAGCCATACCTTCAGACAGAGGTGTCTGAGACCCCCCCCTCCCCAAAGGCTTAACTTTTCGCCAAGGATTAAGACTTGGAATCTCCACTTCCCATGTGGTAAACGTTTCTGTGTGATCCGCCCCACGGGTGCTGTTTTTGTTGTTTCCGACGAAAGGACCTGCAAAAAGTCCGAGGTGTTCGGCCACACTGCCATGAATCTTCTTTTCCTTGTTGCGGTTTTCCCTGCGGTCGCATTCCAAGTTGCCCAAAACAAGCCACGCCACCGGCCAAAGCCGACGCCCCAAAGCCCCAAAGCCCCAAAGCCCCAAAGCCCCAAAGCCCCAAAGCCCCAAAGCCCCAAAGCCCCAAAGCCCCAAAGCCCCAAAGCCCCAAAGCCCCAAAGCCCCAAAGCCTCAAAGCCCCAAAGCCCCAAAGCCCCAAAGCCCCAAAGCCCCAAAGCCCCAAAGCCCCAAAGCCCCAAAGCCCCACAGCCAAGCGAGGCCCTGGGCGCCGTCGTGGACGCGGCCGCCTTCCCGCACCTCCGCTATGGCGCACGTGGACATTTTTTGTGGTCAAAGATAGGGTAACCCCCCAAACGGACATTTTGTTGCCCAGGTGTTTTTTTTTGGGGGATGGCGCTTGGATGGAAGTGGGCTGGTCAAGAATTATTAGGTACCCCAAATGGAAATTGTTGCCCAGGTAATTAGCTTTTTTGGGGATGGCTCAAATTTGGAAAGGGAAATGAAGAGAAGGACTAAAACGTGTGGTCCAATTCCTGGTGGTAAGTTAAGGGGATATGGCTGTGGCTCAAAAAATGGTACCCAAATGGCACCTGGGTACATGAACCAAAGACTACCTGCGAAACCCTGCTTCTTTATTTTTTGGCCACGCCCGTATGTCAGGCACTGGCCTCGAATTTGGTGGAGAGAAGCTGGCTTGAGCCAAATTTGGCATGTCTCGATGTCGGAAACACACACTCAGAAGCAAAAGAACTGGGGTGGACTTAGGAGACATTTTGCATTTTGCCAGTGACTCAAAGTGAAGCAACCAATGAAATCCACATTCTCTATCTGGGCCTAAGTCTAATCATGAGAAGACATGGAGCCCAAAGAAGCACAAGAGCTGCGGCAGCTTTGACATGGAAGGAGTACGCTTTGGAGAGACGCTCGCGTGCGTCAGCCCTGGGCCGGACGCATGCTCAGTGGCCCATAAAACAGGACCAACACAAGGGAAGAAGATTGGTGAACGGTTTCCTTTCGTCTCCCATTTGACAGGGTGGCAGATTCGGACCAACATTTGCTCATGGGAGCAACCTTTTCTCGCTTTTCAATGCTCGTCTCCAAAACAACGCAGGGGTGTATTGATACCAACCCCCGACAAGGCGTTAGGGAGGTACCATCTGGAAAAAGCTGCTTTTTGGCTCCTAAACCGCAACATAAACATAAAGACTAAACAAGAAAGCGATCTGAGTTAGAAAACAAACAACCGTTGTTCAATCAATTTCCGGGTGGCTAAACTTCGAGAAACATCGACGTTGCCAAGACAGCCAAGATTCGCGATCGCTTTTTCTTTGTTTTTTCTTCTTTTTTCTTCTCCAGAGACTATTTCCTAAGTCGCAGTTGCTGGACAACAAATCGCAACCGACGATCCACCTGCTGGTTTTGGAGCTGCCCCCCCCCCGGAAGGAGATGAGAGAGAGCCGCATGCGTCGCTCTCCGCCTCGAGGAACGGGGAGAAGCAGTCGCTCATGGCCTTTGTGGAGAGCATCGAAGCCCAGTAGATGCGGGGGAAAAAGATCGCTCCCGCCATGCTTTTGGGTTGAAACCATTGATGCAAGGGCTTGATTTCTGTACGGTAACCCAAACATCCATTCTAGTCAGTTAGCCCTTCGACTCAGAAAGGGGAGGCCAAGAGGCTCAGATGTTTGGCACTGGCTTGCCTTCATGGATTCTAGAATCAGCCTGAGGCCTGCAGAAGAACCCAAAAAGGCCATGTTTGTCGGTGAGGTGAGGGGACGCAGAAAGGTACACTCACTACTTGGGCATTTTGAGCCACTCGTTGCGAAGAGCTTGGCGATGAACTGCGCGCGCGGCGAAAAGGAACCAACGATTGACTTGGATCGACTTGGGGACAGTCCCCAGCTTTCAGCCGCGCAGAGTCGTAGATTAGATTGCAAGTAGATGAGCTGCATCCATATATATATATAGACGGGCAGCTACAGAGCCAGCCGCTTGGCGATAATTAGGTTGGATGAAAGAGTGTCCTGTTGCACCTCATCTACAATTTGGGGGTTTCTTTGAAGCTGCTCTTTTTCCAGGGGTCCAACTGCAAGCAAGGTTGCTACTGTTCAAGAGAATATTTTTCAATTAGATCAACCTTCCCAAAACCCGCGTTGGAGAAACCGGATCGAGGCGCGACGCAGCAGCCGGAGGTCGCCGCGTACAAGCCTGGAGCTTGGAAGGTCTGATCTTCTTTTCTTCCCTTCCGGGGCTCAAGTTGCAAAAGGTCGGAGGGTATTTTCCGGAGGAGTGTTGTTTGCTCTTTTGGTGCTTTTGCTGACTTTCGCGCTTGGACGACCGGTGGGCACCAGATTTGACACTTTGGCCATAGAAAGTGGCAACTTGGGTCCCTGGGTGTGTCTCAAAATAGGGGACCCAACAACTTGTTTCCCTTCTTTTCTTTTTCCTGCGTCCCCTTTGAAGCCAAAACCTGCATGGGGTTCTCAGGAAAAGGACGGACACCCATAGGTGTCCTTTTTGGTGGTTTTGGTCGAACAATAGATGGGTTTCGATCCCTGGTCTCCCTGGTGGTGCAAGATCATCTACCGGGGATAGCCATCTTTGCCCCAAAAGGACACCGAAAAGGACACACCCTTTCACCTAAACTCTCGCGCCAGCTCTGAGGTCCAAGAGTGGAGGCATCCTTTCTGTTCTCGAGGCGGGGGGGTCGCTGGTTCGGGGTCACGAGCGAGCGAGTTTTCTCACCTTCTTGCCGGACAGACACCGGTCAGAGGAAAAAGGACCTGGGCGGCTTGTCCCTCTCTTTTTTGGGGTGACTCCAAGTCCCCCCCCCCCCCAAACAAAAAAGAAGAAGAAGCAAATCAGAGAAGGCCTTGGCGTTGTTGTTTGGTTCTACCATAAAAAAAAAAAAAAAAAACAATTCCCGGCTTGTCGGGCTAGCAACCTTTTTCTCTGGCTGCTTGGTACTCAAAGGGGGCTATCGGTTCAACACAAATCCAACAGGCTCCCCCTGGTGCATGGTGCACCATTCCAAAATGAATCTACCGGGATATTTACCGGCTTGATTTCCGACTCAAACCCCCTCAGTACTTCTTCTTCTCGAAGCCCTTCGCCTTGTAGTACTCGGCGCGCATCTTCTCGGTTCCCCATCCCTTGCCCTTGTTGGTGTGCTGGAACTCGTTCCAGCTATTGCTGCATACCTTCACCCTCGACGTCGAGCTCGAGGATGCCGAGGATGCCGCCGGTTCATTCCAGTGGTGCTCCTGCTCAAACCCCCCTTCATCGTACTTCCGCACCACCCATGTTCGGCCCCACTGATCATGAAGCTCCTGAATCCCACGGTCCACCTTCACCAAGTACCGGGGCTTCTCCTTCACCTTAACGACCTCCAGAGGCTGCACGCCTCTCAGCCTTCTCACACAGCCCACCGCAACACCCGCGGTTTGCTTCGCCACCCACACTGCTCCAATCGCCATCAGGATGACTCCCACCACGAACAGCACATCCAACTCGTCCACAGGCATGATGCCCTTCATGGCGGTCGCCTTTCCAACCAAATCTGCCCCGATCACCGCCAACAACCTCACCTTCATACCGAAGCCGTCCGCAGTGACCGCCTGATCCTCCTTGGCCAAAATGGCCTTCCTCATCATCTTCTTGACCACCGGCATGCCCAGGTCTTCCCTGAATCGCTCGAAGGCCTGACCACTAAGCGATTTCGTCATGCCGTCTGCCACCAGCTGCTTTCCCGACAGGTGCGTGAGCGACCAGCCACCATCTTCCAGGGCCCACCGTAACGACGCCGCCCTGATCCGCAAGTGCCTCGTCCTCCAGCTCCCTGACCCGTTTGATGCCAAGGCTATCGCCGCCACGTTGTCCCCATAGATCCTCTTCTGGGTGAGTTGCTCACCCAGGATCACCTCCAACAAAGCAGCTGTCGCCCTTCCAGCCACTAACGACTCGCAGTATCCAATCAGCTCCGCTTCCGCCGTGGATTGCGCCACAAACGGCTGCTTGGTCGCCTCCCATGCAATCGGCGAGCCCGCGAAGTAGACCAAGATGCCCTGCACGCTCTTATGGTCTCCTGCTGTGCCATAGCTGATGTCCGAGAACACCTCCAGCAACTTATCGTGCCGCTTCACGCTCAGGTGATCCCGAGCGCCCCATCCAGTAGCTTTCGCGTACTTGAGGCCCACGTCGGTCGTGGCGTTCACATACTTCAGCAACGCCATGCCCACATCCACCACCTGCTTCGGGCTCTTCATGTTACGGGCCATTGTTGCAACTCCCGCCATCAAGTCTGGCCTCGTCTTCGTTGCCAACCAAAGCAACCCACCCGTAATTGCCTGTGCCCGTCGAAGCATCGCGGGGTCCAGCTCTTCTTCCTCCTCCGGAGCCTTGTACATCGGCACCTCCATCTTCTCCCGAACGCCCCATTTCTCCACCAACTCCTTTGCGTAGGCGCTCTGCTTCAAGTCAAAGCCCTCCTCCGACTTCCACATCTCGAAACCACAATACCTCAACGGCTCCTCCTCCGATGGCCATTCGATATCCGACAGCGGCCACTCCTGTTCAATTCTCTTTACCGCCGCCTTGATAACCTCCTGCTTGGCCGCTATCAGCACGTCGTCCACGTAGATCGACATGAAGCCCATGTGCCTTTCGGTGAGGTCGACCCCTTCCACGTGGCATCCAATGATCTTCCAAAGGTTCGGCTCCTCCGTGACCTCAAACTTCATGTCCCACTCCACGTCCTCCTCATCCTTCCACTTCCACATCATCTTCTTGAACATGCCATCGCGATGCACCCCCCAGTCCTTTGGGCTTGTGGTCAACCCATAGACCGCCTTGTCTATGATCCACACTTCCTCCTTGCTGGCCAACCCACATTCCCGGAAGATCGCCGGCACCTCCATCACCACCGTCTTGGAATCATCTCTTCTCGGAGCGTGAAGAAACGCCGTACGAATGTCGGTCCCCGCCAGGAACCACCCTCTCATTGCTGCCATCTTCGCCAAACTCCTGATCTGAGTGGCATCCGCCCCGGACGCATATGTTTCCTCCTGTGCGGTGCTGCTTGCGAAGTTGCCGCACACCACGCCCCGAACTTTCCTCCTTCCATCGGGCGCCTTCCTCGTGCACACTGCCTTTGACGGCAGGAACTCCACCATTCCCGGCAGCTCGTTGACCTCCTTCCTAGACACCGGTCTCACCGCCTTCAGCTCCTCGGTCATAGCGATGTACTCCTTCTTGGCCGGCTCAATCCAGTGCTGGAGCTCCGTCCTCACTTCTTGCATTCCTACCGTTTTCGTGACCCACCACTCCTCCTCCAGGCGGTCTGCGTCCTCTATTTTCATCTGTCTGAGCTTCATCTCCAGCTCGTTTTTCTCTTGAACTCCTTCGCGAACCACCGGGAGCCACCACTCTTGCCCTTCTCCTACTCCATCCAGCAGTTCCATTTCTTCAGCTACCCAAATAGCAATGTTGCTGTGGTGCTCCAACATCTTCTCCTCCACATCCTCCCCCTCGACGCGCATCGTCGACAGCTTCTGTTTCCCATTCAGCCGCCGCCTCTTTGGCGCCAAAAGGTCCACCTCCGGTCTCACCTCCAAGTTCACCGCCCCTTGCTCTCTGTTCAGGGCCTCCTCTACCTCCATGTTGATCTCCTCGGGCTCCGGAATTGCATCCGTGGTCGAGAAGAACCTCCCATCTTCGCAGCTCCTCACCCAATATCCACCCGAGGTGAGCGACATCGCGGCATCCGGGCCCATCACCGTGACCCTCTCTCTGTCCCACCTCCAATCCTGGTAGCGGTCCGTCCATGCCTTCTTCTTCACGTAGGCAACGGACGCGAACAGCAGCAGTTGCTTCGCAGGGTATCCCAAGCTTCGAAGCTGACCCCGCAGCATCCTCTCTGCTGCTTGCCGCAGCGCCAAAGGCCACACCTCCACCTTCTCCTTGGAGGCGCACAAGATCGTCCTTGTCGCCCTTTTCAAAGCACCCACAACCTGCTCGGCACGACCGTTTTCCTTGTAGCTATCGCCGGGCACGGTCGTCTTGTAGATGCCTCTATCCTCCGCGAACTTCCTGATTGGAGCCGACACCAGCTCCCGCGCCCGATCCGAATGAAGGCGCAACACCGGCAGCCCCAACGCTCGCAACCGAGCATATATCCGTGCAATAGCCGGCAGCACGTTCATCGCCTTCCTGTCCAGCACGGGCTCCGCGAAAACCAAGTTCTTGACCTTGAAGCTCGCCGCCTCTTGCACCATCTTCTTCCGGTCACCAACGTCCTTTTCGTTCTCTCTTTCCTCTGCTGCAGCTTCCTCATCTTCCCTTACCTCCAGTGGCTCCATCTCCTCGTCCGCCTCCGGTAGTAGGTCATCTTCTGCAGGAAGCGGATGTTCCTCTTCTTCACGCACCAGTGACCTCCCCTTCATGTCCACCGGATACGTGTACACCCCCACCAAGAAGTACGCCACCTTTCCTCTCTGGTCGACCCCTTCCTTGAGCTTCCCGGAGAGGTCCACCGCCAAGGTGTATGCATCCGGGTGAGTGACTCTCACGTGCGGTCTCCCCCGTCCCTGGGCTTGGACGCACATTTTGCAATCCCTTCTCGCCGGCATGTGGTCGTTGAGGAAATGCGTCTTCCATCTCTGCAGCTCGTCCACACGCACCGGCTTCAGCTGCGGTTGCATCTTCAAATGCATCCTCACCGCTTTCATGATCTCCGTCTTCAAACCCGGCGCCCAACACGCCCATGATTTCGTCTGCTGGATCCGCTCCTCAAGGCTTCCAGTCCATTCCTCCTCCCCCGTGCCTGGGCCCCCCAGTCCATCTAGATGGTCCAGGTACGGCGCATTTACGCCAATCGTTGTTGGTTTCCGCCTCCGATGGCCCAGTGCTCCTTGGTCGCATCGGACGAGGTGCATACCGTACTTCTGCTCAAAGGTCTTCCATTCCTGAAACCTCCACACGCTGACATAGTCCGGGTTGCCATCATCCCGGTACTCTCCAGGATCCCGTGGCTGCTCCTTAACGAACAGCACCTTGTCCTCCGCCGATGCCTGCGCCACCACGTGCAATGTGAGCATCCTTAACCACAGCACCGCGTCCCCCTCGACCAGCTCCTTCTCGTACAGGTTCAGCCCCTTCTTGCCGTAGGGCTCTTCCACCGACCTCACCGGCCTGGGCCCAGGGCTCCTCGTTCTGCAGGCCGAGACCGTCCTGCACGGTGGGCCGCCCAGGATCGCCTTGACCTTGCCCGTCCTGGCCAACTTCAGCAAGTACGCAAACACCTGCGGCCTGTGAAGGTCCTGGCCCGGGTCGATGGCCGTGTCCACACACATCACCACGACTCCCCGACCTTCAAGGCCATCCATCCACTCCTTCTCATTCGCACCCGCAAACAAGTGAACAATGAGGTGCTCTGCCCGTTCGAACGTCCGCCTCCTTCTCCTATTCCAGGGCAGCTCGTCCCCATCCACCTCCATGCTGGGCATCACCCGGCTCATGATCTCATCCGGCACCCCCGGGAAAAACTCTTTCAGTGCCTTGGTCATGGCCAGCTCCGGTCTGTCCTTCAACTGCTCCATCGGCATCTTCATCGCCGCCAACCGCAGCATATGATTCTCTTCCATGAGTTCCATCTCCTCGATGAGACCCAATGCGATCTCGGCCTCCACCATTGGGCAACTGTCTATCATCTCCACCTCCAGGCCTTTGCCCCTCCGCCGAACCTTGCAGTGTCCCTGCTTCCACTCCACCTCGTACCCCATCATGGTCAGGACGCCCATGGGCACGATCGGCTGGATGTCCTCCTGCGTGATCAGCGTGAGGGTTCCCTCCTTCAACCTCATCTTCGAAGTGGTTCCTTCCGCTAGGATCACCTTTGTCGGCGTTGCGGCTTCCCACTCCTCCAGGTCCTTGCACTTCCGCAGTGCATGAGTTGCTCCCCCGTCTAGCAGGCCCTTGTTGATGACTGCCGTGTTCATTTCCTTGATCACCACCATTGCCTTCGCGGATGGAGCCCTCATGGACCTAAGAAGCTGTGTTGCTTCCGCCAACAGCTCCCCCGTTCCACCACCTGTAGATGTCGCCGTCCATGCCGTGGCCTCCACCTCCGCTTTCTCGATCTTTTCAGATCCTCCTGCATTCCACCCACTCGCTCCTGCGCTTGCTCCTGCAGGACCGCTTCCCCCACTGCCAGCTGCACCACCTCCCCCCGAGCCGTCTCTCGGCTCGTGCACTGCAGCTTTGACCACCGGCTTCGCTGGCTGGCCCTTTCCTCCACCTTTCACCGGACAATCCGGTCGTCGGTGCTGCTTCGACCCACAGATCCAGCACCGCGCATTCCGATCTCCGACTGACTCCCAGTCGTGATTCCACTTGCACCCTTTTCCCAAGCGACATCCATGCTCCGACCCAAAGTACCTGCACACCGCCGTACCCGTCTCCTTTTTCGCATGGTCCGGAGCAGGCCTGTCCGCTATGGTGCCCGTGGCCATTGACTTTACCTTGGCCGGTTCCACCGTCATCAACCTCGCCGTGTCCATCTCCGCGAGCAGCAACTCCGAGTAGTTCCAAATGCTTTGCACCGTGGGCGTGGTGTCTAGCCCCAACTGTGTCCGCGCTTGGGCAACCCGAAAAGCTTGCGGCCCTCCACGATTCACCAGCTGCGTCACCTTCTCCAATGCAGCAGCTAGAAGCGTAGGATCTGGAAGCGAGGCTCCAATCTCCTGCGCTCTCAGGTAGTACCTCCTCCATTCTCTCAAAGCGACCGCTGCTTCTGCAACCGTCCTCATCTGGCCCAAGTCCGTGAGCTTCCTGAGGATCAAGGACCGTTCTCCAGGACCATCAGGCTGATAAGTCACCAACAGCCTGTACAGCACACCCGTGCTGCTGATGTCCCTTGCCGAGATCAACTCCTTGCGGATCTCCTCCGGAATTGCCCGCAGCAGCATGGTGACCCCGCGCTGCTCCGTCCGCACGAACCTGGCGGTTCTGAGAGCCTCCGGGATCCCGACCGTGATCTTGAGCCGGTCCAGGGGAGTGCTCCTCAGCCAAACCTCGTAGAGCTTCTTCGCCTCTTCCATTGTGCCCATCCACCACTCAGCCGCTCCTTGAGAAAGATCCTGCATCTGGGGACCCACCACAGCGAACCAGTCCCCCAACGTCAATGGAGAATGATCATACGCCAGCTCCGGCAGTTCCACCTTCGCCCCTGCTCCTCCCGTCTCGATCTGGTCCAGCGGCTTCGCCTCCGCCTTTGTGTTCTGATCCCAGTCGTCCCAGGAGCCCCACAAGCCGCTCCAGTTCCTGTACCATCCTCCACGTGGTTGCTGATCCCACCTCGCCTCCCAGCCTGAGTCAGCATCTTCCGTCCTCGGCGGTTCTCCTTCCGGCACCTGAGTTCCTCCCGGGGTACACCTCCATGCAGGCGACCTGGTCCTTGCTCTCGGGGTACTGGCCGTCCTCGCTGCAAGAACTTCCACCGGCCTCGGCGGCGGTGGCGGTGGCGGTGGTACCGGGGGCACAATCTGTGGAACCATCGCTTGTGCCATTGGCGTGACAAACATCCAGAACTTCGCCTTTTCCTGGGCCTTTCTGACCTCTCCTCTCAGCTCTTTGATCATGCCGAAGAGGTACTCCCGCTGCTTCTCCATGCCGACCAGCTTCTTGCACGCCCGGCCGTAGTTTCTCTCCATATCCTCAAACAGGTCCATCTCGCCAATCAGCTCTTCCTCATCGTTCGGGCGTTGGGCCTTCTCCGGAATCCACACCTTGAGCTCATCATGCCAAGCCCAATCCAGGTCCAGACCACGGCCACCCCAGGTCCACCTCCTGGCTTCCTCTCCACTGCTTCCGGCAGCACCAGCATATTCTTGACCTCCGCCAAGGATCCCGGACCTCCTTACTGCCGCATCCCAACCTTCTTCAACTTCTCGTTGTTCTCTGCCTCGCCCAACCTGATCTTGCCGATGCTCAGGTCCCTGTTGTAGCCTTCTCCCATCACTCGGCCTCGGGACCGGCCGCTCTCCTTCCCCTTCACCAGGCTGTCCTGCTCGTCGATCACCTTGCCCGTCTCGTTCTCCTCCAGGACGACGCTCTTGTTGATCTCTTCGACCACCATGTTCATCACCTGGCCGACGGGCCTGCTGATCTCCTTGCCCATCACGTTCTGCACCTTGCCATAGTGCTCGGGCATCCACCATCCGAGGCCCACGAAGATCACCTTCTCGTCCCATCGGTCTGCCGCGCATGGATCCATATCCCTCCACGCCTCTACTGGGCTCTCCACGGCTTTCACCAAGCCGACCATCATCTCCTCGTTGAAGTCCACCATCATTCCCATGTGGTAGCCCTCCACCTTCGTTCCCACGACCCCCTCCAGGTCGCCGATCTCGGTCATCCAGCCCGGGTTCACGGACATCATCCGGGCGAGGAACGCCTCCACCAGGTGCGACGGACCTCAAGGTCAGCCAAGAGGTCCCTCTTCACGTCGCTCCAGAACTCCTCATTCGCCCGGCTGGAAACCGCCTCAGGGTGCTCACCGTTCTGACGATCATCCCTTCCGAGCAGTCCACCATCCGGGCCAGGTTCTTCATGAAGATCTTCTTCTCCACCCAGCTTCTCATCTGTCCCCGGCACCGGAGGCAGCCCACTCGGTCGGCTCGCCTTCAGCGCCGCTTCATCTCGCGCGCGTTGACTCCAGAACGGGTTTACATCCACCCGTCGCCCTTGTGCTTCTTCCCCAGCGTGTGGCTGCCCCTCCTCCAGCTCGCCCTCGGCCTCCGCCACCATGATGCCCATCCCGGCATCCACGCTGCGGGCTCGCCTCCTCCGCATGCCAGCATCCATTGCACGGCCAGAGGAGCTACGTCTTTGGGCTCATAACCCTTGTCGGGCTAGCAACCTTTTTCTCTGGCTGCTTGGTACTCAAAGGGGGCTATCGGTTCAACACAAATCCAGCAGGCCCGGAAAGGGAACCGGGACGGAAAAATGATACGCCCAGATGTCCCGGCATAGCTGCAGTTTTGCAGTTTGATGCCAGTTTGGGTGTCAAGGCGGGGCCGAAGCTTTGTGTGGTGCCCAAATGGGTGTAATCCCTCAGCTGGTTGGTTTCTCTTCGGTTTGCCTCTTGCCAAAGGGAGGGTTGGCTGACAAACCCAAAATGGGCGATGCCCTTTCTTGGGTTTGTTTCAGAGGCAACAGGAGTCCACCCATTTTACAGGTTCCATACGGATATGTCTCAAAAAAGGGATCCCTCCAAAAAACTATTTTCCCTTTCAGCCAACCCAACAAACACCTCAGACGACCTCACCCCAAATGGTGGTTTGTTTGGGGAATAGCTCCCCAATTACCTTATTTCAGCTTAGTGAAATGTTAAAAAATGACCCAGAACAAAGCAAACCCCCGAACAAAAAAGGCCAACACACCCCCATGTAGAAAAAAAGACGAGGCTCCGGCCAAGGCTCGCAGTCGCGGGGCTCACAGGTCCCCCGCTTTTTAAAAGGCCCTCCAAAAGAACAAATGGAGCCTGACGAGTTTTCTTTCTCCTCAGGCTGATTATTGATGGACCCCCCCTAAAAAAAAGAGGAACCAGACACGCCTCTGCCAATCATGTTGTTTTCAGGTGGAGGCGAACCGAGACGACTCAACCTGCGGGTGTGTCTCAACCGGCTTGTCCCGTGGTTGGCTTCCTGTTGGCTGTCCTTTAAAACACCAAAGAAACGGGACATGTCCCCCAAAAAAGACTCCTCTCAGTGTGGAACTCCGGTGAGTCGGAGCGCCCACGGCCCACGGCCTCGCTTTCGAGCTTCCCGGGCTAGGACATGAAGGCCAAGGCCCGGGACGACCTGAACTCCATGGTCTCCCAGGAGCGGCGGGATGTGTGTGTGTGTGTGTGTGTGTGTTGTTTTTTCCTTCTTTTTTCCGGGGCGAAGCGAATCCCCTGTTTTTGTTTGGGAGTTGGGTTTTAGGAGGGAGACCTCAAAAGGGACCCACCCATTTTGTTTGGGCTTGAGCCTTGGACTTTGAGACAATCCCAACTCGCTTGGATTGCCAGTGCCGAAAGGCTTTTTGGGTTTTGCGGCGTCTGGACAAAAGAGGAGCCTCAGATTTGGAAGCCTCCTCAACAGACATGCCCAGAAACACCCGACCACTCGGATGTGGAAGGAAGCGAGGAGACCAGGCACTCATGAGGTTCCTTATTCTAAAGCAAGAAGCCCGGGGCGGCTTTGTTTGGCCGGGGATTTTTTTTGGGCCCGTTCCCGTTCGTGAGGAGAAGAAGGCGCAGCACAGCTTTCTGATGCTGGAGCCTCGGGTGTAGCGAAGGGAAAGCATGTCGCTGGACGGGCAAAGGCCAAGGCTAAGGGCGCCGTTTGAATTGTCAGCCCGAATAAGCTGAAGGGGCTCCTGGAATTCAACGGCATGTTTCCATAATTCCCGTTTAGGCAACTAGAGAAATGAAGCTGTTCAATGCTTTCTCCCTCCTCAGAATTGCTTGGTTTCTCAGTTTCCGGTTGTTGTTTTTCTTAGGCTTCCTTTGGTATCCGAAACGGTTTTCCCTGTTTCGATGGCATGATGAAGGCGTGTTTCCCTGTGGGGTTGTGCTTTTTTGAAGGTACTCTTTTTGGGGTTGGTTCACAGGGAGGCCAAAAGGAAGCCACTGGCCATTTGGGGCCGCCTGAATTCAAGGGACAAATCTCTGGCCAAACCCGCAAGACTCGCTCCGAGCTGACATGCCACATGTGTCTCCTGGCACAGGTCTCCGATTTCTTTTTTTTCAGCCCATCCGGCCCTGGATCCCATCTTCTAAGGCAGAGGCAAAGGACCTTTGCTCAAGATGACTCATTGACTCACTGACTGATTGATTCATTGACTCATTGACTCATTGACTCAAGATGTTTCATTTGCTCAAGGACAGCCATTTTTGGTAAAGCCCGTTCTTGATTCATGGACTCCGGCTTGGGCCACTCCCGGCTTGGAATCCTGGAGACCAGGGGCTTCTGAAGCCCACGCTTTGGATCGGAGGCTGAAGCAGAGCTTGGAGATGCAGATCTCGGCCGACCAGAAGGAAACGGACCAAGCCAAGGCCATGGGAACGCAACGAAGAGACTGGGGGTCAACCCGAAACGCCAAAAAAACGAGATGGGGGACATGTATGGGGTTCGATGAAAAGGTCCGTGGGATGACCATGGGTGGAAATCCGCGAAAAGAAACATGATAATTCCCACTAAGTGGGAAAGTTACTCATGGTCATTCGCGGGCCAGGAGTATTGATCAACCGCCATATAATCATGCTCTGTTGGAGCCGGTGCCTGAGGGCAACCATTGTGCGATGAAGGTTGAAACTCTCTTTTACCTATCATTCCTACTTTTGCAAGTAGTACTGAGTGCAGTCCCCCCCCCCGCCGCCATTTTTGCTTTTAATATTCTTGGATGGTTCATTTTACCATTTTCTCTTGGGGACCCGCTGATAAGCCTTGAGTGTAGCTTCTTGTTCGTTTTGGCAATTTCTTCTTTTACGCGTATCTCTATTAGTGGCCCTTTTGCGAGGTTGGTGATCTATTATTACATACTTGACCCAGTGTGTCTGTGCAAAGATGGGCGTATCTTGCATGGACATTCCATAGTTCAGTCTTCCCCGCGAAGAGCAACATACCCAAAGCGAGACCTGAACACGTGACCGCCCCCTCATGAGTTTTAATGTTTTTCAAAGCCATCCCAACAAGAGTAAGCTCTCTGCCACCCATGGGCTTTGGCTCCTATGTTAATCCGAGGTCTATTGTTCAGGCTACCCATTTCCGGGGAACTTTTTTCGAGGGAAGCCAAAGTTGGACAACCTATTTTGTTTGTTTTTCGGTGTTTGTATTTTGAGACTATTGTTGATTGTTATTTTTTTCGAGGGACCCCAAAGTTGGAAACACCCAATAGTTTTGGCTTTTGGCGGTTTTCATATTTGGGGACACATCTCCATTTCCGTCTTTTGAGAAACCCAACGATGTTCTTCCCATTTTGGTTGCTGGTTGTTGGTTGTCCCATGTTTGGTTGTTGTTGGTTGTTTGGTTGTTGGGTTTTTCCCATTTTGGTTGTTTGTTTTTCTCCCATTTTGGTGGTTTGGGTTTTCCCATTTTGGTGGTTTGTTTGGTTGTTTTCCCGTTTTGAGACACGAGGCATCCGCCGGGTCCTTCCTGGGCGAAGCCCAGGGCCGATAAATTCCGCGGCCAGGCGGTGCGCTCGGAGGCGGCAGAGGCGAAGGCGGCGGCCGAGGCGGCGCTGGATGGGTCCAAGAAGGCGCAACGAGCGTTGGGGGGACGGTGTGTGTGTGTGTGCGCGTGTGTGTGTGGGTGGGTGTGTTTGCTTTTTTTGTTTGTTTGTTTGTTTGTTTGTTTGTTTGTTTGTTTGTTGTTCTTTTTTTGGTGGTAGGTGGGTTGGGTAGGTGGGTAAGTGGGTGGGTGGGTGGGTGGATGGTTCCTTTTGGTTTCCCTTCGAACCAACCTGAGAAGGGCACCAGCCTCAAACACAAACCCAAATCACCGCGGTCTCCGTTCGAGCAGAAGGTTCTGCCAAGCGCTTGAACCACGAGACCGCTAGCGATCCTCGCTGATGGGATTATTTCTGGGATGCAAGAGGCTTGGAGCTATTACATGGTGCTTAGCCTAGCTGCCTAGACTATGAGCTGGGATGTTTTCTCACATGATGTTGCCATCCTCGGTGCATTTGGACCAGAATGAAACATACGTCCTGCAGGACCTGGCGAACGACAAGACCTCTCTGCAGCAGCTGGAGGCACCAGTTTTCCCGGCCGAATTGCTGGCGCTTCCGAATTGGTTTCCCCTTGTGTCCAAAAAAGCCGCTTGCGCGCCTTATCCGTGGTCTTCCAAAACGTTTTCTCCTCACTCGCGGTGTTCCCCCCAAACTTGGCCGTCACAGTCCTCCAGCTGCGGCTCCTTGCACCCCTCCCACCACCACCCCGCACCCCAAGCCCCCAACCCCACGCCCAACCCCCACTCCCCCCCCCCGCCAGTGGGCTCCCCCTTTTTGGTTGGCCTCCACGCTGCAGTTTTGACATGCACGAGTCATACACTTGCACCGCTGGGCTCCCACATGCGTCGCCTTCATTTGCTTGGTGCTTTAAGGCGGACGAAGGCCCCCCCCCCCGCCAATGTTAGCAGGTGTTTCTACCGCTTGGTTGCATCTAGGCCCCCGCCCCTTCCCTCCGCCCCTCCTCCCCCAACCCCCAGCTCCCGGCGCGTTATTCCGCGTGAGGCGAGCTGCTCCCAGGCGGCGGAGGACTTCCAGGAGTCCGCCAAGGGCCGGGCCGAGGAGCTGGAGGCTCCGCGTCGCGAAGCGCGGCGAATTTTCGCGCGAGAGCCGCGCGGAGACGGGGAGCTCCCGTGGAGGGGGGTCCTTGGAGCGAGGAGTGGAGTCCTCCCAAAAGGCGACTGGAGGACGCCAGGCGGCTTGACTTGATTCTCAGAGTGGTAAATGAAACCGGGGGCGTTGTCGAGCCCTCCAAGGCGACCTGAGGACAAAAGGCGACCTGAGCTGAGGAGTTTCTAGGAGCGGTAAATGAAAGAGCGGGTTTGAGTTTTGTTGTTTTCTCTGATTGTGTTGGTTGCTCTTTTTTTTTCCCAG